AGTCTAGAACCAAAACAGGAAAACTTGTGTTTTTTATGTGTGTCACCTGCTCATTTAGAGGCTATAAAATATTGCACTTGTGCCGTTGTTTGGTAAAATGTTACAGAGGTTACAAACAATCTTTTGATAATGTGGAATAATTCACAGGTAGAAATTCACTTTCAGAGACCACTGGACAATCATGACAGGTTGGACAGGTCCAATATAAATATATCTATTTGTCAACATAGTCTTTTGTAAATGTATGAAAACTTTCCTTATAAATATTTAATAGTGTTTATTTGAATAATATTTCCACATAAAGTCTAAAGTAAAATTCAGCACATGGGTAGTTAGGAGATGTCTGAAATAAAGATGACATTATACTTATTTTTATAAATATTACAGAAGAGTCATTATATTCTAAGATAGAACTAAAATACGTACGTCCTGAAAGGGAGAATATACTTTTAATGTTTTCAAACATGTAATACATGTATTACAAAGTAAAGTCATTAGCTTATTTTTCTGTGAGATAATGTAACCAAAGCTGAGGAGGAAGAACATCAAGACTGCTTCTGTACAAATATAGCTTTTGGCCTCCCCACTCTATTTTCCCCTAATGAATAGCAAATATTTAGTCATTCTCATCTGTCACACTTTTGCCAAGGTTACATAAATCACATGTACTCAAACTGGATATACCCTTTTCATGGTCTAACTATAATCAAAGGCAGAAAAGCCAAATTAAAATTATGATGATATTTAAAATGAATTTTCTTAGTCAATACTTTTAGAGCAGGATTTTTCAAACTTGGCAATAGAGACATTTTGGGCAGTCCTTTGACTTATATGTTTAACAGCATTCTTAGTCTTTCCCCACTAGATGCCAGGAGCACCTCCTCCAGTTTTGACAACCAAAAATGTCACCAATAGCTGCCAAATGTCCTCTGGGGGCAAAATATCCCTGTACTGAGAGTTACTATTTTAGAGGACAATTTATACAGTATAAAATAATTATCATTATTTTAGAGGACAATTAAGAGTATTTTACAGTATTATTTGAATAAGCTGTACATTTACCTTCTTCATCTTCTTCCCCTTCTTCATCCTCTTCTTCCTCCTCCTCATCACTACTTCCAGCATCTCGGTCTGTGTTTGAGTCACTGTCTCCTTCATCAAGAATTTCTAAAAGAACAAAGTGAGTTTTGGGTAAAATTAATTAGCAAATTATGCACAGGCATCTCATTCTGAGAAGATAATTTTCAGTTCACTGAAATTTACAACATAACATTTTACCAAACAAGCAAAGATCATCACACAGACCTTGTGTTGTTCCCTCAGTGCTCAGAAAGCAGGAGCACGGATTTGACTAGGGAGAGCCATATGCACCATTCTTCAGCCAGATAAAAAGTGGCCATGAAATAAAAAGGTGATGAGATGAACAAAGAAAAAGTAGGTGCAGGTTTTCCAAAAGAGGAAGAGCACTGGAAATACAAGTTAGGAGTGGAAAGTAGCATATTGGAGTCAAAGTATTTTAATGTAACCATAATTAGAATCTATTATTAAAAAGCTAAAACTAGACACACAAAGCAAAAATTTAGGTTAAGAATGTACTTTGAAATACAAAGAGAGGATGTAATTGCATAATTTAATGTGTTCTTTAAATAAGTGATGGGATTTTTATTAAATGTATACCTATTAAATTGAACATTACAATCAATCTAGTCTTTTCATATGTAAATAAAAACGGAAGCTTAAAACTTGTTAAGAAAACTAGTAAATGAGCCCCTTTATTAGATCATCACTTCTTAAAATAAAACTCACCTTTAGAAAATTGATGGAAATAAGGGACACAAACAGGAGACTACTTAAGGTCAGTCATCATATTAGTAAACAAATAACAAACTAAAATCCTATTTTGAACCATTGTGCATGCTCTATTGGTCTGATACTTTCACAATCCAAACCAACACTTTACTTTTACATTTCTATTATAGTCAGAGAGCTTTTAATACAAGGTTTCGGGGACCAATTAACTTTTAGGAAAACTCTATTCCACATTAACTAAGCAGTGCAAATCAGATGCTATATATAATGTTTAACGTTAGAGAAAATGTTATACGTTGAGAAATAAATCATTTTACAAAATGCAGAGCTGTCATTTCAGCCTTTATCTGATACACAAATCTTTTCAAGAATATTTCTAACAAATGTGATTTCAACAAGCAATGTATATCTAGTGTATCAGTATACAATACGGCTTAGACACACTTTTCAAAGAGGAAACTATTTAGTATTCAATAGGAGGAAGAGAGGCACTCCTGCTGCTTTCCCAAATGCTGTAAGATGCAAAACACAAGTACACCTGGGTCATTCTAAGGTGCTAATTACTAAAGCAGTGCTTGCTTCCTGCTGTGGCCATATTTTTATGCCAACTTTAGAATAACATTTTATGAAAGAATGAAGGTCAAATGAATTATCTAATCATTTACATCATCCTCTCATCTTTCCACTTTAGAAACTGCTTATTGGAATCCCTGAGGTAATAACAATTGGATTTTATGAACTGACTGAATAAAGTAATGGTCTTCAAAGTATGGTCTATGAACTCCTGGGGGGGTGGTCAGGTGATGTGTTAGGTCAAAACTATTTTCTTGATGATAGTAGGACATGATGACCTTTTCACTGTGTTGACATTTGTAATGATGGTGTGCAAGGGGATTACAACTATTCCAACCTTAGCACAAGTCAAGGCACCAAACTGTACTTGTAGTCATTGTATTCTTTACTGCCATGCTCTTGCCTTAAGAAAAAAAAAATCTAGTTTCACTTAAAAATGTCATTGTCAGAGAAGTAAAATATCATTAATTTTATTAAATCACAGCCCTTGAAATTGGCTTTATAATATTCAGTGACATAAAAAATTTATAAATAGTGCTTCTGTTAAAGACAGAAGTATCATGGCGATACATGAAAAGCACTTGTGTGACTGTGTTGAGATGATTTTTAATTTTTTAAATTTTCACTTCAAAGATTGGCTGACAAACTGGTTCCTCAAATATAAACAAAGTAAACTATTCACTTCTAGGAAAACAATTAAGAATATTTGCCACCATGATAAAATTAAAGTTTTCAAGAGAAAAATCACTAACTTGCATCTATCAATGTAAGTGTGACAGTTTCCCAATACTTAAGACTTTTCTGAAAGCCCTAGTGGTGGTGTAGTTATTATGTGCTGTTGAGTCGCACCTGACTCACAGCGACCCCTCCTTGGGTTTCCAAGGCAGTATCACTACACAAGTAGATTGCTCAACCTTTCTTTCGAGGAATGGCTGGTGAGTTTGAAGCACAAGCCTTCTGGTTAAGCAGTCAAATGCCTTAGGCACTATACTACCAGAGCTCCCCGAAAGCTCTAGTAGTCTTAACAAATGTGATTTTCTATTACTGTATAATGACATGTCAATGTTTGGCAGACACACATAACTTAGGGAATCAGTAATTTCGAAATGACCAATATAACCTGTTACAGAATCATACATGGTAAAGATCCATTCAAAGAGGCAGACCAAGGGAAATTCCATGTAACAGAGTATCAAAAGTTCACTGATAAGTGTTTCAGATTCCAATAGCAATTAATCATCAAGAAACTACCATTTGTTGAATACTGCCATGGTATTAAGGAAGAATACAGTCACCATTCAGTATCTGGGGGAAATTGGTTCTGAGACACTCCTCCCACCATGGATACTAAACCACAGACAGTAGATTCCCTTATATAGAATGGGGTACTATTTGCATATAACCAACACATATCCTCCTGTATACTTTAAATCATCTCAATAATACTTACATCTTACCAAAAAAAAAAAAACCAAACTCGCTGCCGTCAAGTCAGATTCGACCCACAGAGACCACCCTTGGGTTTCCGAAGCAGTATCACTATGGAAGTAGATTGCTCAATCCTTCTTCCAAGGAGTGGCTGGTGGGTTTGAACCACCAGCCTTCTGGTTAGCAGTAAAATGCCTTAGGGACTATGCTAGTAGTTGTATTAAGATATCTTAATACAATGTAAATGCTTTGTAAGTAGCACTTTACCCTCCCTCTTAGCCTTTGAAGAATTGATTTGATTTGGAAAAAAAAAATACAACCCAAGCCCACTGCCAGTGAGTTGATTCCCACTAATAGCTACCCTGTAGGACAGAGAAGAACTGCCCCATAAAATCTTTACGGAAACTTAGTCAATTTTCTCTCACAGAGCAGCTGATGGGTTCAAACCGCCAACCTTCTGATTAGCAGCCAAATGCCTTAACCACTGTGTCACCAGAGCCATTTTTTCACAGAAACAAAAGGAGCACACAACATGAGTAGAGAGTGAATGAGATGCGAGATGAACAGTGCTCTCAAACAACGAGTGCTGAAGAGACTGAGGTTCTGTAAAATGGGGAGAGGAGGCTACAGCAAGGTATGCTACATATCTGGCCTACACATCCAGCACAATGCGACACATGTGGCAAATCCAAGTTTTACTTTCTGGAATTTTTTTCTTTCCAAATATTTTCATTCCATGGTTTTGTGAATCCTTGGATACAGAACCCACAGAGAGGGCTGACAGTACACAATTATCCAAAAAAGCTATTAAAATACTCCATTTTCTAACTACATTATCTGTGTGAGGGTAAATATTTTCAAATACTTCAATCAAAACAACATATTATAACAGACTGAATGCAGAAGCAGATATGAAAATCTAGTTGTTTTCTACTTAACCAGATATTAAACAGATTTGTAATAAAACATGCCATTCTTTTTACAAAATTTTTGCTTTGGTAAGAGATTTTTATCAAAAATATCTAATTTATGTTAACACGTACTTGGTTTATTATCATTATTTTAAAATTTTTTCTAAGTTTCAGTTTTCATTCCTAATAAAGAATAAATGTCAACAGATATAACCCACATAAACAGAAGCTAATTTCTAAGAGTGAAGAGGGTTTTTTTTGGCTTTTTTTGGTTTTAGAGGAATCTTGAGACGAGACTTTGAAAACTGATGTTATAAAGGAAAGAGATACTTTTCAGGCATTGGCCAACTGCTGAGACCCTAAAGAAAGGGATGGGGAACTCCTGAGTTTAAAAAAAAAAAAAAAATTACATTAGGTTTTAAATGAATTCCAATAAACTAATTAGCAGCTTTCAGAGAGACTGCAGAAAAGAGGTTAATAAGTAAAGAAGCCAAAATAGGCTTCAGGAGTTTTCAATGTTTGGAAACTAAACCGTAAAAGAAAAATGAATCTCGCTTTCTGCAGAGAAACATCCCTAGAAAATCAGTATTTAAAAGGAAATTTTTTTGTACCAGATTTGTAGGACGATAATGTATAGAAATGAAGAGCTTCTTATATCTTTACCTTGCAGTTCAACATTGTACTCCTAAGAGTGATTAAAGTATAGAATACAGGCAACAAATCAAACTCAGTTAAAATCACAACTCAAGGAGAATGAACCAATGATATTACTGTGTAAGTAGCCCTGAATATTATATTTCCAAAGAAAAATTACAAAAATGTGGAAACAATAGCTGACATTGTCTGAACATTAACTCTGACCATACAAAGAACTTTATTTTATCTATCATTACACAAATAACTTGCTGCAGGTCCTTATATATCAAACAAGTAATTTGTTCCAGATCACTTAGCTAGTAATGGCAAAGATAAAGTACAAGTCAAAGTCTAACCAAAGCTGGCGCTTATAATACACACTGATGTACAAATGATAATAGCTACCAATTTACCATTTGTTAGGCAATGATGCAATAGCCAGCACTGTGATTGAAGTAATAGAAAGGAAAAAGAGATAGCTACAACCTGCCTTCAAGAAATTATAAAGTATAGCATTTAACTGGATGAAACCAAGTGGCAGAGACTATAAGCAAAAGGGCATGAGTAATCTATGAGTTTTCTTAAGCAAAGTAAGGATTGAAGGTTGCAGACAATCTAAATGGAGGGAAAGGGGAAAGGGACAGTGAGACAAGCAATTCAGAAAGAAGTAAAACCATGTGTAAGCAGCAGAAAGAAAAATAATGCACAGAAAACAGTGAAGAAATGGACTCAGAACAGGTTTCTTTGAGTGGGGATTACTGATTATTATATTTCCTTTCTATCAGTATTGATGTAGCTACCTAAAGTGCTAGTTATCCAAAATAATTATTTTTTAAAAATTCTACATACCCTTCTTTATGGCTTTGTACTTCTCTTCATTCTCCATAAAATTAGGATCCATCTTGAAAACATCTTAAAGAATAAAGAGAAAGTGAAGTAAAGGTTCATTTTTTATATCTACATTTGTGGGTGCCCCACTCCCCCAGCCCTGTCCCAGACTAACTAAGAACATCTTCTGGATTATAGTCATCCTCCAGAGGGAGCATATGGGTGAACTGATCATCTTCCTCAACTAGGTCAAGTCCTTCTAGGATAACAGGGTGATCCTTGAATCCATCCTTCCGTACTGCAAACATCACTTCAATCATATACTGAACTCTTTTGTCAATTTCAGACTCATGGAGAATGTTTCGAAGACGTTCAAATATAGCTAGTTAAACAGAAAAAGGAAAAAATAAATAAAATAAGCAATAAATATTATAATACTAAAATAAAAACTCACTATTAAAACAAGGATGCACTTACCATTAATTCCTCTTGGTGATACTTCTGTTAATTTGAGGCCACATTCCTTGAGAAAACCAATAGCTACTTCAACACTATCATCTGTAGGTCTTTCCAGGAGCAAAGTGAGCATTTCTAAGCATAGAACTTCATGTGCCTTGAACAGAATGCATTTATTTGAAAGAGACATAATGCTTTTAGAATATTAATTTATTGTTGATAATAATTTTAAAAATTAGTAAATCTGTGTATTACAATGATAATATTACATAAATGTTGTGGTGGTTAAGTTTGTGTGTCAACTTGGCTGGGCCTGGTTAAGTGGAAGGCAGCTGAATGGAGTTATTCCCCATTGAGATTGGTAATTAACTCCATGGTGGAATCTACTGGAGTAGCTGAGTAGCTGCTTTGGATATATGGTATGCTTCCCCTATATAAGCAGCAGCTTTGGGAATGGTCTCCAGCTTGTGGCCCACTTGAACCCTGCAAGTAGCCATGTTGTTGGTCAGCAGCCTGCCATGCTCTGCCAATCTTGGGACTTTAAATGGCCTTGAATTAATGGCCTGCCGTGTGGTTTGGTAACATCGGGACTGTGCCATTTTATTTGTCAACCTTGGGCTTGTTAGCCTCAGCACCTAGTAGCTGCCTAAGTGAAGAGATGCCTCTAGCTTCAGTGGGCCAGGAGCAAGAGGCAGAGCTGCAGCCCAAGGTCAAGGGGCTTTCACACAGCCCCTAGAGCCTGGCACTTTGAACTCGAACTTCTAGCCTCCCGAACTGTGAGAGAATAAACTCCTGTTTGTTCAAGCCATCCCATTTGTGGTATAGTCTTGTCAGAGCCGCACTACGTAACTAAAACAAAGGATGATATAAGTTTCATAGAACATATACAGTAACATCCAAAATATGGGATATAATTTTTCTTTCACTTTCATTATCCATCTAAGAATTAAGAATTTCCAGATGATTATTCCAAACTCTTTAATTTGCTACACATAGCACAAAACTTTTTGACTTATCTCCAGAGGAAACATTCGTACATATTATATATAGGAAATGCCATAGTTAACCTCAAAATATAATTTTAAAAAATCATGCATCAATTTTTAATCTAAGATAATTACTTTCATAAGTGTAGTGCCTAAGGCACTTGACTACTAACCAGAAGGCTTGCGGTTCAAACCCACCAGCCACTCCTTGGAAGGATGTTGGGCAATCTCCTTCTACAGTGATACTGACTTGGAAACCCAAGGAGGGGTTGCTATGAGTCGAGTCCGACTCAGCGGCACATAACATGTGAGGAACAGTAATAATCTTTTTATATGCTTTTCTGTGACCACAGCTCTTTATATTCACTTCCCAATTCACTCACTCAGCAACTCTGTTAAACAGTAAATAGTTCTTATATTACATGAATACTGATTTTACCAGAAAATATCTTCAATGTTTCTGGTATGTAGTGATAGGTTTGAACACTTAATACATTTGGGAGGGGGTCAAACAGTCTTATATTAGTGGCAAGAAAATTCTGTCTCATTCTACAAGTGAGAAGAAGCAAAATATTTATCATTTTAACTATTTTGTGACAATGCCAAAAATATTTCCAGTGTAAATGTATAATTGAAAACAAACATTACCTGTGCTGTTACATGCATGTGAAATTAAGTTTTCATGGTTATAATAATATGAGAACTTACTAATTTAAAATCTAAAGGCTTTGTAAGAGTGAGCATTAGAAAGAATTTCATGTAGGTAAGAATTAAAATGTTATTTTACGCCACAGAAATAAAATTGTAATTTCAAAATTCTTCCACTTATACACAAATAGTAGACTTAAAATATTATGTATCTGAAGGAAACCTGGGAGTATGAACAAGAGATTTTACTCTTTTCAAGTTTAAACAGAAGCAAAATCAAGATTCTCAAATAGTATATGAATACAAAATAGACACAAAAACTGAGTAATAACACTTTTTGTATTTAAAATACATCAAGATTATTTAATCTACATTTAGAAGCTGATTCTAAAAATATGACTATACCCATACAGTTGCAAGGAATAGAGTTTCTACAGAGTATCAGATACTTATTAGGTTCTCATGAGCACTAGGTTTAGGGGAAAGGAGTGGAGGAGGTATCAATTTTATGTTTTATAAAAATCATTAACTCAAAAGATTAGACAGATAATTTAGGGGCAGTGAATTTATGTTAATGGGGGAGAGACAACTGGAAAAGGAGGGCAGAGACTGTTCCACAACTGGAAGAATGTAATCAATGTCACTGAATTGTGCAAGCAGAAATTGTTGAACTGGTGTATGATGTGCTGTGTATACTCTCAACAATAATAATAAAAAAATAAATTATAAAAAACAAAACAAATGATAATCTTTGAGGTAATAATTTGTGGGCAAGTAATCAGGCACACTATTACGAGTTTAGGTCAATTTGATAAAGTACCTAAAAGTATTCTGGTTCCTTTTAATATCAAAGAATATTAAATGCATTTATAATAGCTTTAAAATGAAAATACCATCTAAGATACTGTTCTCAAAAACTATAAATCAAAACAAATACAAAAAGAAATGTGTTACTGATATGGCACTCAGCCTCTGGTCTAATGCCACTGAATAAGACCAAGTACTGAAGACAACTACTTACCACATTTTGATTGATAAGATGGGCCACAAATTTTGAAGCAGTCAGACAAAGTTGCTGAAATTGAAGATGGAGACAAAGTTAATCTATAACTAAAAGCAATTTTCACTTATCTATAGACCTGACAGTTTTCTAACATATCATACTTGAAATGTGTAATGCACAAAGCTAGTTCTTATGACATTATAAGATAAAGATTAATACCTACTTAAGAATGCCACTTCTGGTTAAATAGTTAAAATTGTATAGTAATAGATATTACTTTTTGTGGCCAGGGGTATTTAACAGAACCAAAAAAGTTCTCATGAAGTACAGTTTTTAAAAAGCATTCCTTTGTACAATTTAACATTGCTTACTATTGTTGATAATGCTTTGTGAGTCTGTCCCTACATGGTGGTCTACATACAAGCCCATCACGTACATATACCTTATCATTTCTTCGATAGCCCTTTCGAAAATTAAGAATTAACCTCTTGAGTATTAATTCTCCAATCTGTGGAAATTTTGAGTTGATGATTGCCACCAGTGCCGCATAAACATGAGTGAAGATTGGAGAAGCACTTTGTGCTTGCAAAACAGATCTGGATAGCAGTCCTCTGTTTATAAAAGAGAGACAACAATAATGACCAACTTAGTTAGACGGGAAAAAAAATCTCATTTAAAATTCTAGTAATACTATTCCTCTGTAAATAATCACCAAAGTTAATCAGGATTAAATTTTCACCACTTTATCTAAGCGGAGATTTTATCTTACTAATAAATTCTGGGTTTTGAGAAAACAAAACCTGAATTTGTGCTTTTGTAAAATAGACTAAAATTTTACAATTTTTTTTTTCTTTCTAGACATAATTCCTCTTTTCTGGCTCCTGTCTGCTGTATCTAATCATGAACTTGACTTTTTAAAACTGCTTAATATTATCAATTTAAATCTGCTTAATATTATCAAAGAAATGAAGGGGGAAAAAATCTCTTTCAAAAGTATTACATTTAGATTTAATGCACAACTTCATCATGGGCCTATGATTTATGTAAAATTAATTCTGTGATTAAAGACAAATCTGGGCGGTTTCCATCTTGAAATTTATTCTTAATGAAATAAAATTGAAGATTTGGGGCACTCCTTTGAGAAAGAAGACACAATAAAGGCACTGCAAGGTTAATGTTAAACAATAACAGAAAAAAAAAAAATGTCCTGCTTCTAGTTCATTGGGAAATGATCCTATTTTCTAAATTATTTGATGAGGATGGAGAAGAGATATAGAGTAGGCTAATTCAAGAGTTACTTTAAACAATGAAATAACAAGTAATAACTGAATTGGTAAAAAGCAAGACAAAAATGTATTCCCAGTTATCAATGTTAGTTATGATAAGTGAATCACTAGTCTAGAAAACAAGAAAAGAGAACCTAGCTCACAAAAAAGATAAACCCTAAGACACAGCAGACAAAAGCTTATTCTGGCTTGGCCAGCTATGGGCTACTTAACCTTGGTCAAGGTACATAACCTTGGTGAATCCGCCTTACAAAATGGTTTTAAGGGAAAACATCAAGCATTTACCACACAGACTCAGTAACTGTGAATAATAAATACTGTATATTTATTATTAATAAATGTGATGATGACAAGACCAGTTATCAATTCACTGTACTTTTAAATCATACTATTTCCCTACACTACTGGAAATGGCAATTTTTATCCAAGGGACAATAAATTTGTCCTCTAAGTTAGACAGCTAACAACTGAAGGCAGCTTTATGTTAGTATAGTTTATTTTTCCTCTAGTCTTAGTAAATATCAACAGTGTAGTCTAGTACTCCATAATTTAAGTGATAAAATGTAAGGCACCTTTCACTTCTGATGGATTTATGAAATTTATGAAAAATATCTGAATGAAGTTGGGATAAAAATTTTTCTTTCCATGTATTCTCTTCTGTTCTAGGATAATTTTAACTTAAATTTTATGAACTCTGTTTTTAAGATTAACTCACTGCCGTCAAGTGGATCCAATTCATAGTGACCACTCCCTGGGTTTCCAAGGTGGTATCACTACATAAGCAGATTGCCCAACCTTCTTTCCAAGGAGTGCTGGTGGGTTTGAACTGCCAGCCTTCTGGTTAGCAGTCAAATGCCTTAGGCACTATGTCACCAGAGCTCTTTTTTTTTTTATGAACAATAATGTTAAATTAAAGAAACACATTTTGTGTTTTTAAAAATCTAAAAAAAAATCCCTAAAATATTTAACTAGTATTATAAGAATACCAAAATATTTATTAGCCAAACTTTAGAGCATGACAAGTCAATATACAGAATTTCCTAAGCTTCATTCCAAGGAACACTATGTCAGAGAATTATTATTGGAATAATGTCTCCTTCAAGAAGGTCTCATAGTTAAAAGAGTTTGGAATATAAGTGCTTTATATAACAACAACCTTCTTAAGACTCAAGGTACTGTTGGGGTATTAAAATGTCTGAGATGTCCAGCAACCAAAAAATTAAGCTTAATTTTATTACAGAGCTTCCAAAATGCTTTATTTCTTTAAAAAAAAAAAAAAAAAAAGACACTTAATAGCACATTGAAAAGATGGCCTTAAATTAATAAATATTTATATAGCCCCTTAGAGCATTAAAATAAATATTTTAATCTATAGGAAAGAGTTACAAAAAGATGTATTTCTAACTTCTGCCTCAGGCAAGTCTACATTTCAAAAATATCTAGGAAAGTCTTAGGTATTCTATCCTTGGTGAGTTTCAAGGCTAGAAATTCACCATTGCCTCTAGTTGCCTGTTCAATCTTATAGTCACTATTAGGAGCTCTGGAAGCACAGTAGTTAACACATTCAGCTACTAATGAAAAGGTTAGCAGTTTAATCCACCAGCTGCTCCATGGAAGAAAGATAAGGCACTCTGTTCCTAAAAAAATTCATAGCCTTGAAAACTGTATGGGACGGTTCTACTCTGTCCTATAGCATGGCTATGAGTCAGAATTGACATGATGGTCATGGTACAGTCACAATTTATCCTGAAGCAGGGGCCTTTTAAAGTTAATTCATTAGTACAAGGCCACTAAGTCTAGGTTAACAGACCAAGAATATAAATCCATGCTTTATAAGAGGTAATCCTATTACAAACATATTTTAGTCAGAAGGGATCTTCTCCCTACAAATACACTACTAGCCTCTTCGAGGCAGAGCCATTTGGGAGCTAAGCTTACTGAACTAAGAAATAGCTTCAGTCACGGTTCTGAGGCTTACAAGTTGGTAAATCTTACGCAAACAACATACCTTCGCTAAGTCCACTCCTTTCTAAGTAAAACAGAGGGAATGCTACCCACCTTCCAGAACAGCAGCTGCCTCTTGGTCAACTTTCTGTATTCCTCTCCATGCCCCATCCCACCCCACCCCAGTATGCTACACCTTACCTTATACCTAATAACGTTTTCTGATATCATGAGTCAGGGTAATGCGAGGTGAAATGGGAAACCTTTCATTTATAAAATAAAACAATAAATAGCCTACACCAGAAAACCTGCTGTCATCACGTCTATTCTGACTCATAATGATCCAACAGCACCAGCAGAACTGTCCCACAGCATTTCTAAGGCTCGAAATCTTTAAAGGAAGCCAACTGCCATACCTTCCACAGAGCAGCTGGTGGGTTTGAACCACCAACCTTTTGGTTAGCAGCTGAGCACTCAGCAACTGTGCCATGAGGGCTCCAAATAGGCTAGTTCTATTTCCTGACCCTTTAGAATACCATCAATTGGCAAATACCACACAAGAAATGGTATGTCATTACCTTTTGCTTTTCCAAAATTTATTGATGATAAATTTTGCTCATATTCTCATTTTGCTTTCATTAGAAATTAAATTCATTTACGGTAGCTCTTGTTTTTCCCTCTCTGTATCTTTAATATTAATTTTGCCTCAAGGATGTAAATCATTTGAGACATTTAATAAACAAAACTCATTATATGACATCAAACCTTCTTGAAAGCAAAAGCTCCACCCCATCTCAATTTGTGAAATGCAAATTGTCAGTAGCTTACATTTTTCTAAGAAACGTATTTTAAATAAATATTTTCAACTAACTTTGAAATGAAGGGGCATGATAAATCACTAATTACTGTTCAGGCAGATTATTATGTTCCTCTGAAACAATACTATGAAATACTACAAGTAAAATAGCTGCAGCTTACCTTCCTCTAACTATATTTTCTTGAAGAAGCTCTTGAATAATAATACCTATGTTAGAAATGTTGACTTTGTTGATCAGACCATTGATTGACTTCTTTAGTGCCTCCCAGCTCATCCTCTGGTATGCTAAGCTAAAAAAATATTGATTTTAATAAAGACAAAATTTAGTCAAAAAATATAGTAACAAGAGGTTTTAGTAAGAGCATAAAAAATACTTAAATGTCTCTTTACTTTTAACAGTACTTTCACAAAAAAAATGACCCAAAAGTGCAATAAAATACAGGTGAGTTTAGGAAACAGGTTACATCCTAAACCTAACTTTCTACATAGGATGCTTAAGTAGAGACAACTTCCCTCTTAATAACATATTTAAATTATAAGTGTAATTTATTTTCTTATACCTATGTATATTTCAAGTCATAACATTAATTAGATTCAAAACATGCTTCTTTTACATTATGCTTCATTTACTTAAATTTGTCTTTAAAGGAAACCTTCTAAAACTAATTAATTTTGAGAACACGTTATAATATGAAACATCTGAATATAAGCCATAAAAAGGCAATTTTTATTATGTTTCCTCTCTTAAAAATGTAACAGAAATAATAAAGTAAAATGTTCTAAACTATAAATAAGTAGTAATAATTATAGGGACAGGAATGGAATCACAGGGCTGAAAGGCTGCTCTAAATATAAAGAACACTTGCCACTTTTAAGCAATAGTCCGAAAGCTATACCAGCTGAATGTTAGATGATTATACTGGTTTTTTGTTTTGTTTTCCTTTTTAAAACATTTCTTTTTAAACATATTTATAGAAAAAGTATGTCAACTCCTGGTTAGCACAACTGTAAAGAGTCACTGTAGGTCCAGACTATTAATAGTACTTTTGATTATCTATAAAATAAAGACACTGCTGATAGGCATGCAACTATGAGAAAAATAATAGTTTGAAAAATATACATTTAAAAAAAAAGTGAGATTTCCTCAAACTGTTTAATTCATTCAGGACCAAAAATAAAGAAGTTCTAAGATAATGGCAGGGCAAACAGTACACAGAGCTTCAATAGAGCTTATGGGGTAAAGAAGGAAAGAAGTCTCTGGTTTGAGTTTCCTATTCTTCTGAACTAACATGCATTTTCAACAGCCAAGGTTAATTAGACCACTGGTGATTTTCTTTTTTTAAAGAGGATATCAATGGTTCGTATACAGGTAGTCCCGACTTACGACGTATTCAAGTTACCACGAACAGCACTTACAAACTGTCTGGCTTTTTTTTTATTCTTTTTCTTTTTACATTTTATTGTTAGTAGTGTGCATATGCAATATTGCAAAGCTTCCCAATATTATCAGTCTCAGATGTTCATTTGCAGATGCTCAATGTTATGGTTTATAAAGATACTGATAATAAAAGGTAACAATCATGAAAACTAAAGGAATGAGATATTCGACTTACGTCAGAACTGACTTACAAGGGAGTCGTCGGAACATAACCTGTCATGAATCGGACACTACCCGTACTTAGTAATATCAACATGCCTGCTTTTATCTGTGATCTGTTCCTGCATCATCCTGAGTTTCGCAGGAGGAATATATGCTCCACCGGTGCGAGTAAGGAGAGGATCCAATTCATCTTTCTTCTTCTTTGCAGTAGGTTCATCCTGAGCAGAGGAATTCTGGGTTACAGATGTTTCTGGGCTTCGTCTCCCAGGAGATGGGGATTTCCGGGACCTTTTCCGCTCCATATCTCTTTCTCTGTGTTTTTCTCGGTCCCTACTGCTGTAATGTTAATTTTTTTAATGGAGAAAAGACAATATAAATATATTCTTACAATGAATTATACATGAAATGAAAGGATACAAGTGAGCCCAAAAATTCAAACTAGGAAAAATGGTTTGGAAAGGCGAGGAAGTGCCTCACAGGAAAAATGTAGTTTAAACTGCATCTTGAAGATCTCATTAAGAAGCCCCGATGATGCAGTAGCTAAGTGTTCGGCTGCCAGCTGAACTCTGAGAAAGATGTGGCAGTCTGCTTCTGTAAAGATTAAAGCCTTGGAAACCCTACAGGGCAATTCGACTCTGTCTTACAGAGTAGAGTCCCGGTAAGTTGGAATCAACTCAATGGCAGCATGTTTGGTTTGGTTTAAAGCTTTCATAGGATTTAGACTGGGGACAAGGAGGTGAGGAGAGAGAACATTGTGCGAGGAGAAGAGGAACTAACTAGTGAAAAAAGAAGTGGTTAGGGTAGAATGACTAGCTGTTGTTGGGCGCCATCAAGTCAATTCCAACTCAGTGATCCCATGTGACAGAGAACTGCCTCACAGGGTTTTCAAGGTTACAGTATTTACAGAAGCAGGTTTCTCCATCTTTCTTTCATGGGACTACTGGGTAGGTAACAACCACTACCTTTGTGGTTAGCAGCTGAGCTCTTAATGATTTATGCCCCCAGGGCTCCTTGGAATGAAAAGAACAATCCCAAAACAATAAAGAATCATGTATTATGGTAGGTGGAAAAACGAATTTGAGTCAGACTTTGAAATCTTAAAGAAAAACACCAAAGTTTAAATTTTTTATACTGAAGGTGATAGGGAATCATTAAAACTTTCTGAGTGAGAGAATAACATGAAAATAGCATTTTAAGAAGATAAATTGGCCTGTGATGTATATAATAAATTACATAAGAGAAACCAGAGTTTATCTCCAATGAAGGCACTTTTTTTCCACAACCTATCTGTCAGTTTGTCATACCATGGTGGCTTGCATGTTGCTATGATGCTAGAAACTGTCAGTGGTATTCAAATACCAGTGGAGTCACCTATGGTATATAGGTTTCAGTGAAGCTTCCAGACAAAGACAGATCAAGAATAAAGGCCTGTCTTCTACTTTTCAAAATTAGCCACTAAAAATACCTATGGATCACAACAAAATATTGTTTGATTTAGCTGTTAGAAGATGAGTCACCTGGCTTAGCCAATGCAAGTGAAGGAAACCCTCAATGAGATGGACTGACACACGGTGACAACAATGGACTCGAACACGTCACCAATCACGAAGTGCAGGACTAGGCAACATTGCGTTGCTGTACAGAGGGTCACCATGAGTCCAAGCCAACTCAATGGCAACTAACAACAGCAATGACGGCAATTTTAGGAGTTAAGACTGTTATAATAAATTTATTTTAAAAGAACTGGTACTTTTATTAGAAGTCTCAGGATATCAGCTCTTGGTTATTAGAAAGAATGTGAGAAAAAAAATCAACCATTTTCTGGCCACATATTAACTTCTCCCTATTAATGTAGGTGAGCATACTTTCTTAAATTAACTTTTTAAAACAGCCTTGCTCCCTTGAAACTATCAAGAACTAAACAGGAAAAAGTGAGACCTTGCTTTTTGCTATCATTTCTCAGAGAAGAGTTTGTCCACTTAGCTATTTCTTTATATTGCCTTGGAAACCGACAGAACCTTCCACTCATGCTTTGAGCAGCCATGAGTTATATGAATACAGTTAAAAAAAAAAAAAAAAAGTTTCATGTTATCACTGTATCACCAGGAAACAAGTGAATAGAGTACAGGAAAATCTTCAGGGTATGCTTGAGATGGTCTGTCTTAATGTAGAAAGAGAAAAGGAGTCAAACTTCCAGGCAGCCGCAGAGGAACAGTTTTGAAATTGAAGTATAAAGAGGTCTGAGTTACTATCAATGACAGTCTGCATAGAGTAAGACAGGGTGAACAAAGTGGAAAAAGGTGGTTTCAAATGTATACAATTAGTCACAAGGGAAAGTATTCTAAAAATCTAGGCTGAGATTTGCAAATGAACTGCTCCTTACTGTGAATGAGGCATTATCCCAAAAGAAAATCCCAGCAGGGACTTACTCTCACTGGTTATAGTTCTGAGAAACATCAGGTAAGGCAGCCACCTATCTGATAAAATTGTGTCCTTACAATTATTGTGTCTTCTCCTTTATAGTGCAAAAGTAATAAAGTTGTCTTTGATTTTCAATTAAAACATTTATCTTCAAATGCTTTTGGACTGTTAGCCTTTATACTCTGCATAATATTTAGCCTGCTTACTTCACAGTGTAACGCAAAGTACCTAATGGAACTTTAAGTATCTACAATGTACTAACCATAAAGAGCTATACTGAAGAAATACAGCCATGGGTGTGGTAAGTGTATGGGCTTTGAATTCTTCCATTGTTTTCTATAAACTATTCAATATGCCATTGGTGCACTTCTCTTCACTACTCAAATTGATGTGTTTAAATAAATAATGTTAAAAATACTTATTTCTGAGGTCCCTAAATGGCACAAATGGCTTGTCCTCAATTACTAACCTTTACATTAGTAGTGTAGCCACTCCTCAGGAGGAAGGTTGGGCAATCTACTTCCGTAGTGATACTGTCTCCGCAACCCAAAGAGGGGCGCTATGAGTCGGGTCCAACTTGACGGCACATAACAACGACAACAACAACACTGGTAGTTGAGCCCTCCTTGAGGTATAGTGAAAGAAAGATCTGGTGATCTGCTTCCATTTAAGATTGTGGTCAGTTACCACTGAACTGATCCCCATTTGTGAGGACCCCATGTGTGTTCCACAGAGATTTCAAGGCTGCAATCTTTTTGAAGCAGATTACAAGGCAATCATCCAAGGCACTTCTGGGTAGATTTGAACCATCAATTTTTCAGTGAGTAGTTGAGCGCTTAACTGTTGTTTGTGCTACCCAGGAAACCTTGATTACAGCCAAGAAAACCCTATGGAAAAGTTCTACTCTGTAACATAAGGGGTCTCCATTAGTCAAAATCAACCAACAGCAATGGGTTTGCTTTTCTTTTTCTACTATGTTCCACACATGGTATTAGTACATAAGTTATGTCCAAAGCTAAAATGAAATGACCAGACACGTTATGACCCTCATTTACAGATGAGCAAACTGATGCCCAGAGGAAGAAACTTTTCTAAATTTGTATAATCATAACTAAGATTTGTATGAATACAAAGTCTATACTTTCTAGTATACAACACCACCTCATTAAAAAGAGTAACAAAGACATTTCAAAGCCATTTTCAGATGATTAGCAAATTGTCTACATCACTACTCTTCTCAAAAGCATGGATACACACAAGTTAATAGAGGAGTGCCCATATAATGACTTCTGTTTTAAGGAGCGGAGAATATTTCCATCTCTTACATAACTTCAGTTAACTTCTTTCCCTATACTGAGCATTCCAAGTAATTGCTCACCTATTCTTTTTGATGCTACCACAGTTACTACCCGGTGATTTCTTTCTCCAGACCCACTAAGCAACTTTTATCTCCACTCAATTTGCTCCTGAGGAAATACAGAAGCCTCCTTGTGAGGTTTTTTAAGTCTTTCAACAATGTTAACTTCTTTCTAATATTCACACTGCAAAAATTATTACTAATTCTCTCCAAGGGAGAAAAAGAAGTAACCATATAGAATAATGACAAGGAATTATAACACTTCACCTAGTTTTCAATGAAAAATGGGAAATGAAAATAAAAATGGAAAATTTTTATCTGACTCTCACGAAATATTTCCCGTAAGAGTTTCCAAAGCCCTCAATCTACCAGTACTCTTTGCTTTGGAAAGACGTTTATCTGCCTTCCCTTGTGCTCTCAACCAGGTAAGTTCTATAGAACCTGTTAGCAGAGGGAACAGGTGAGTCAAGTTCTCCAAGATTCAAGAATCATTTATATTTAGAAAAAAATCCACACTGGGAACACCATTCCCAATGTCTCCTTGCCATTACCCAAGAAAGTAAATTTAAATCATCCTATGTCATTAATATAAATTACTTTCATTCTGTAAAGAATCTCAAAGTATCACATAAGCCAACCCTTACCACAGTATGAGGAACTCTCATGGCACAGTCACTAAAACACTCGTCTGCTAACCAGAAGGTTGGCAATTCAAACCTATCAGCTACTCTGCAGAAGGAAGATGAGGCAATCTACTTCCATAAAGATTTATAGCTTTGGAAAGCCAATGGGGGTCGCTATGAGTCAGAAGAGACTGTACATCAGTGGTTTTTAATACATTACAGTAATATGATTTAAGAGCTTGGGATCTACAATCAGACAGACAGATGTGGACCTGCCACATGCTTCATAAATATAAACAAGTTACTCAGTTTCTCTAGGTCTCAGTTTCTTTAGCTGTAAAATGGATATAACAATATCTCCTTCATATATTTACTGCAATACAAGTTAATCCACATGAAGTCTTTATCAGATAGCCTGGCACCTAAGAACATCCAATAAAAGTTAGCTGCTATTTTTGTTATTATAAAGCATAAAGGAAACGTAAAATATAATTTTGCTATAGTTAAAATTCCCAATACTAACCGTGACTCCATGCCACTATCGTAAGAATGTCCTCTTCTCGAATGCTCATAGTCTGACCTGTTGTAATCAAAGTAATCTCTTTCCCGGGGGGATCTTTCTTGTTCTACATATCTAACATAAAATAGGAAAATCAAAATTATCAGTTGGAAACAACTGTGTTATAAATATTTAACTTAAGAAAGTCAAACATTGTTAATGCTCAAGCAACGTTATGACTCAACAACTTCTTGTCAAACTGTTTTTAACAAACTATTCTCAACAAACAGCTCATTTTGTTGACATTCATTCATTGAACCATGATTACAAAAGCTCCCAGCTCGTGCACAATGAAACAATTACCAAAATTCACTTGACCAAACTTGCTCCTCCTGATTCATATTGTCCTCGATAGAAGACATATATCTGGATATCATATATACTTGGCATGAAAAAAAGCTGTCCTGTAAATGATTTAGTTGGCTCATTGTACTGGAGCACTATACAAATGAGAGCAATGTCAATGGTTGGCCTCCTCCTTAAGGACCAGTTTAACTCCATCCCAAAAGACTATATTCATCAATTGTTATTCTTGAAACGGTATTATTGTACAGCAGTGAGAATGGAATGAAACTCTTAGCATACAAAGAGAGATGGTGTTATATCTGTTATTTAAATCTTGAAAGTCATTAAAATCAGAGAACATTACGGTAAACATATATATATAATACATATGCATAATAATAGAATTCATAACTTATATATACGTCTACAAGTAATTTATTTACAAACATGTATGTATAGTGTGTGTGTATAAATTAACTGTAGTTGTATACACACCTTTTTAATATAAAAAAAACAAACTCACTGCCATCAAGTCAGATCTGACTCATACTGACCCCTCTTTGGGTTTCTGAGGCAGTATCAGTACAGAAGTAGATTGCCCAACCATCCTTCTGAGGAGTGTATAGGGAGTAGATAATTGGTGAAAGGCAGTAAGTAGTAGCAAACCATGGTAATTAACATAATGGCTATTAAAAGGTTTTAGGAGATATTTAGCAAAATGAAATAAGAGGGAAGTATATAGGAAATAAGGGAGATTAGAAAACTGGGAGCAAGTTTAGAGAATGATTTCCCCATCATAAATCATTTTTAATGATCACAGCTTACTAAATGCATAAGTAAGTTCTGACATGACTGTATGATGCACATTAATAATAGCATTTTGGGATCTCTGATCTTAATACAATTATGATAAAATTATATAATTTATATAAATTATTTTGTAGATATGAAACTATGTAAATATAAGATAATAACAAAAGTAGCACTTCACATAATGTAATTTCAACTTAGTTTTCTATTATATCAACTTCCACTGTATCTATTATTTAAGCTATTAAAAATATTCTCCATCATCTAAAACATTACATAAACTCCAGAATTATTTACTAAAAACGTGTACGATTATTCAAGTCTGATTCCTCCTGCTGCTGTTGTTTGGTGCCATCAAGATTGTTCCAACTCACTGTGACCCTACGTACAACAGAACGAAATACACCTGGTCCTGTTCCATCCTCAAAATCAGTGATATGCTTGAGCCCACTGTTGCAGCCCATGCAGATTCCTAAGCTCATTGAGTCACTACTGGTTACAAAACCATAAAACAGAAGTTGCTCATCAAAAAATTAGAGACTTAAGAGCTGCGTTATTACTTAAACTTATTATAAACTTTCAGTTTTATTCAGAACATAAAAACTGTTTACCTATCTTCTGGAGAGGAGGCCCTCTGATATGAATTATAGTTTTCCCTTCTGTCATGACCAGAAGAATGCTTTAAAAGGGAAAAAGAAGAGGAGACAGTTCAAAAATTATTTGTAATGATAAAAACACTTAGACAATGAAATGTGTATCTGTTAAAATAGGAAGTATTTCAGAAATTATTTCAAAATGTTTTTATAATCATAAAAATAATGCATGTTAACAGTATTCAACAAAAAAACAAACTAGAAGCTAATTCTCAAAGTGAAGATGATACCTAGTTCATATTTTATTCTTATATAGTAAATGAAAAGTTACAGAGAATACCATGTTTTTGTTTTTGTCTTTTTTTCTCTCAGTGAAAATAAAAATCAAAGGCAAGATGCTTTCTAGCTAGAAATCACTTCTGAGTATGGTCAAGTCTTTTAACACTGCACTTACTGCACCTTTGCTTTATGAAAACCATAATTTTAGGTTACTGACCCTACATTAAAGAGAAATATTTATAAAAATTCATTGTTTTCAGCAAACGTCATTTGAGGTCCTCATTTGAATGTCTGATATATATGGCACTATGTTAAAGGGAATTAAAAACATTTCTTTTCTTTTTTAAATTTTACTGTGATTTGGGTGAAAGTTTACAGAGCAAATTCATCTTCCATACAGCAGTTCACATACACTTTGTCTCATGACATTGACAGGAATCTCCCACAACAAAACAGCTCTCTACCCACTTCCTCCCCATAGCCACCTCTTCCCTGTGTCCTCTCCTCCCACGCACTCCTGCACCATGAGCAGTGGTGATAGCGGGCATCCTTGTCTGGTTCCTGTTCGCAAGGGGAATGGTTTTAGCATCTCTCCATTGAGAATAATGTTGGCTGTTAGTTTTGTATATATGCCCTCTATTATGCTGAGGGGAGCTCTGGTAGCATAGTGCCTAAGGCACTTGACTGCTAACCAGAAGGCTGGCGGTTCAAACCCACCAGCCACTCCTCGGAAGTAAGGTTGGGCAATCCTACTTCTGTAGTGATACTGCCTCGGAAACCCAAGGAGGGGTCGCTATGAGTCAGGGCTGACTTGACGGCACATAACAACAACAACAACATTATGCTGAGGAATGTCCCTTCTATTCCTATTCTGCTAAGAGCTTTTATCAGGAAAGGGTGTTGGATTTTATCAAATGCCTTTTCTGTATCCATTGATATAATTATGTGCTTCTTTTTCTTTGTTTTATTTATGTGATGGATGATGATAGTTTTTCTAATGTTGAACCATCCCTGCATACCTGATACGAACCCCACTTGGTCATAATGTATTATTTTTTTGATAAGTTGTTGCAGCCTGCTAGATTTCTGTGGAAGATTTTTGTATCTATATTCATGAGGGATACTGGTCTGTAGTTTTCCTTTTCAGTGGAATCTTTGCTTGGTTTTGGTATCAAGGTTATGCTTACTTCCTAAAAAGAATTTCAGAGGATTCTATCCTTTTCTATGTTTTGGAATAGTTTGACTAGGATTGATGTCAGTTCTTCTCTGAATGTAAAAACATTACTCTTAAGATACCAAATTCTTTGAAAAACAAAGAAGTAACTTCAATGTATCATGAGACAGATGTGAACAATACAGAATATGAAACATATTCTAATTAAAAATCAAATACATTAAAGAAGCCAAAATATTTATCTGTATAAATAGGTAAATTATTTATACAGCATTCATATGACAAGACTCAATTTCTTTTTTTATGTATTAGGAGCTCTGGTGGTATAGTTCCTAAGGCATTTGACTGCTAACCAAAAGGCTGGTGGTTCAAATCCACCAGCCACTCCTTGGAAGGAAGACTGAGCAATCTACTTCTGTAGAGATACCACCTCAGAAACCCAAGGAGGTGTGCCTATGAGCCAGAATGAATTCAATGGCAGTGAGTTTTTTTTTTAAACTGTAAAAAAAGAATAAAGAGAATGTTTCCTGAAGTACTTTATTCTTGAAATATAAGGAGAAAAATAATGAGTAACTTGTTTTGTACATTTAAATATTTGTGTAATTAATGGGTGCATTTAAAAATAGAAAATTATTCTTCAGGAAAGTAAACAAGCTCCAACTTCCTTCAACTTTATGACTTATTGTTATCGTTAGGTGCCATCAAGTCATCTCCGACTCATTGTGACCCTATGTACAGACGAATGAAACACTGCCCGGTCTTGTGCCCACTCCACAATCCCCGTGATACCTGAGCCCATCGTTGTAGCCACAGTGGCAATCCATCTCATTGAGGGCCTTCCCCTTTTTTGTTGACTCTCCACTCTACCAAGCATGATATTCTTCTCCAGGAAATGGTTCCTTCTGACAACATGACCAAAGTAGGTGAGACGAAGTCTGGCCATTCCCACTTCCAAGGAGCATTCCGGGTGCACTTCTTCCAGGACAGATTTGTTAGTTCTTTTAGCAGTCCACAGTACTTTCAGCATTCTTCGCCAACACCACACACAACTCAAAAGCATTGATTCTTCTTCTGATTTTCTTATTCAGCTTGTTGTCCAGCTCTCACACGCATATGAAGTGATTGAAAATACCATGGCTTGTATAAGGTGCACTTTAGTCTTCACGGAGGTATCTTTGCTCTTCAGCACTTGAAAGAGGTCCTTCGCAGTAGATTTGCCCAGTGCTATACGTCATCTGATATCTTGAATGCTGCTTCCATTAGCGCTGATTGTAGAACCAAGTAATATGAAGTCTTTGACAACCTAAATATTTTCTTGATTTATCGTGATGATGTTTATTGGTCCAGTTGTGAGGATTTTTGTTTTCTTTATATTGGGGTGTAATCTGTCCTGCAGACTGTAGTCTTCAATCTTCATCAGTAAGTGCTTCAAGTCATCCTCACCCTCAGCAAGCAAAGTTGTGTCATCTGCATATTATAGGTTGTTAATGCATCTTCCTCCCATCCTGATACCATGTTCTTGTTTATATAGCCCAGCTTCTCAGATTATTTGCTCAGCATACAGATTGAACAAGTATGGTGAAAGGATACAATTCTGACACACTCTCTTCTTGATTTTAAACCATGTAGCATCATCCTCTTGTTATGTTTGAACGACAGCTTCCTGGTCTATGTAGAGGTTCCTCATGAGTACAATTAAGTTCTGGATTTCCCATTCTTCTCAATGCTATACATAATTTTTTATGATCCACACAGTTGAATGCTTTTGCATAGTTAATAAAACACAAGTAAACATCTTTCTGATATTCTTTCCTTTAAGCCAAGATCCATCTGACATCAGCAATGATATTCCTCATTCCATGTCCCCTTCTGAATCCAGTTTGCATTTCTGGAAGTTCTTTGGCAATATACTGCTACAACTCTTTTTGAATTATCTTCAGTAAGATTTTACTTGCGTGCAATATTAATGATATTGTTCAATAATTTCCACATTCTATGGGCTCACCTTTCTTTGGAATGGGTACAAGTATGGATCTCTTCCAGTAAGTTGGCCAGGTAGCTTGTCTTCTAAATCTCTTGGCATAGATGACTGAGTGCCTCCAGAGCAGCATTCGTTTGTTAAAACAATCTCAATGAGTATTCTGTCAATTCCTAGAGCCTTGTTTTCCACCACTTCCCTCGGTGAGCTTTGACTTTTTCCTTCATTATCATTGGTTCTTGATTATATGCCACCTCCTGAAATGGATGGACATCGACCACTTCTTTTTGATACAGTAACTCTGTATATTCCTTCCATCTTCTGATGCTTCCTACATCATTCAATATTTTGCACATAGAATCTTTCAATATTGCAATTCAAGGCTTAAATTTTTTCTTCAGTTCTTTCAGCTTCAGAAATGCTGAGTGGGTTCTTCCCTTTTGGTTTTCTAACTCCAGGTCTTTGCACATTTCTTTATAGTAATTGGTTTTGTCTGCTTGAGCTCCTTGTTGAAATCTTCCATTCAGCTCTTTTATCTTGTCATTTCTTCCATTTTCTTTAGCTACTCTTCGCTCAAGGGCAAGGTTCAGAGTTTCTTCTGACATCCATTTTGGTCTTCTTTTCCTGTCTTTTAATGACCTTTTGCTTTCTTTGTGGATAATGTTTTTGATGTCATCCCACAATTCCTCTAGCTTTCAGTCACTGGTGTTCAATGCATCAAATCTATTCTTTAGATGGTTTCTAAATTCAAGAGGGATATATTCAAGGTCATATTTCGGCTCTCATGGACTTGTTTTAATTTATGACTACTTAATTAAAAGCAGTTTTGAGTGTAACATTATCACAATCGCCAAACCAGTCTTGCTAACTACTGAGGTTGGAGGTTTGAGTCCACTCAGAGATGCTTCAAAAGAAAAGGGTTGTTGATCCACTTCTGAAAAAATCAGCCAAAGAAAACCCTAGAAGCACAGCTCTATTCTTACATACATGGGGATGCCATGAGTCAGGCAGATTTGATGGCAACTGGTAATAACAATACATTAACTAGAGTATGTAGGTAAATAAACACTTAATGAAAATTTATAATTTAAAGTAGCCATGATTTGTCTATTTTACACTAAATGCAACCATCTTAAAATCCTGTTTCTAATGTGTTTAAGAAAGGTTTTAAAATTATTTCACTGAGTAATACAATGAAGTAGAAGTGTTCAATACAGATGATGTAGTGTTACATAAAAGTTGACATTAAGATCCTAAAGCAAAATGGAGAACAAGATTCATTTAATTCCAACCGGTAACAAAAATTACTGGGTTCACTGGTCACTCGTCATCAGACACAGCCCTTCATATGGGGATACTCCGAGGGATACAGAAGATAGGAAGGACCCTCAAGGAACATATGATTTTGTTGGAAACAGGCAGTTACAATGATTCCCACAACTAAAAATATGAGATTATGTGCTCCAAAAGAGAGACAGAGAGCAATAAAACTATACAGCCTACTTTTTCTTTTACAAGGCAATGCAATTATTTTGATTACATTTGGGAAAAGGCCTCAATTCTGGGCTAATGATTTTTAACACATCTCTGTAACATCTGTTGTGAGCAAAAAGGAAAAACCAAAAATACTGAAGTCGTGAATCAGAAGGATTTTG